GATACGGAACCTGTGGAAACTTGCCTGTGAAACTGTAACGTCCTTGTTTTTTTGTGGATAGCGTAATATGACATTTACTACCGAAAACTAACCAGTAAAAGTGAAAATTAGTTTTTTTTTTTTGTAAGATACAGCAGATTGCCTCTACTGCTTGCTTTCGAAACATACACACTTAAAAATGATGGTTCTTTAGATTAGATTAGATTCAACTTTGTCATTATTGTGCAGAAAACAGGTACAGAGCCGATGAAATGCAGTAAATTAAGGGTTCTTTAGTAAAGAAAGTGGTTCTACATAGGACCATGAACACTGAAAGAACCCTTTGCATGACAAAAGGGCTCTTCGCATGGTGAAAGCGTTCTTCAGATGGATGGAGAATGTGCTGTAGATGGTTCTGTGAAGAACCTTTTGAAAAGGGTTCCATAAAGCACCAAAAAGGGACACTTTTTGTGCTATATAGCACATTTTCCATTAATCTGAAGAGCGCTTTCACCATGCAGAGCCCTTTAGTCATGCAAAGGGTCCTTTGAGTAGTCATGGTTCTATGTAGAACCATTTTCTTCACTAAAGAACCATTAGTGAAGTGAATTATCATTTTAAGAGTGTGGGGAACCTTTTTTTAAGGTCTGTGTGATTCGTTCATTGACATGTGAACAGAGTGATTTAAAGTGGTTTGGTATAAAATGGTTTAGATGTCTTTACAGTGGTGGTGATAGGAACCAGGGGTCACCATGACTACAACACAAATAAAGACATTTTATTTACTATCCAGAACCACCAGTGAACCTACAGGAGTCTTCTCGGTGTTTATATGGTAAAATAGTGGTAAATATATACGTCCTAAATATATACGTTTTCTTCTGGTACTGTTTTGCCTTGCACAGCTCCGCATGTATCTCTCTGCCATAAATGGATTTAAAAAATGTTTTAGACCTAAAACTACTAATAATAAACGACATCAAGCCAAGTTATCTTAACCATTCCACATTATAGGATTTTGTGAGGGAGCTTTCAGAGGCGATAACTGCTTCAGACGTCTGGTTCCTATCAACACCATTGTGAACGATCATGACTCTGGTTTCTCTACACTGAAAAAGATGGTTCTTCAAGGGTACTTTAGTAAAGAAAATGGCTCTATGTAGAACCATGAACACTCAAAGAACCCTTTGCATCTTCAAATTGATGGAGAATGTGCTGGAAAAGGTTCTATGTAGAACCTTTTTGCAAACAGTTCTATTTAGCACTAAAAAGCATTCAAGCTTGTCACCTTTTGGGTGCTAAATAGAACCTTTTTCTTTATTAAAGAACCCTTGGAGAACTTTTTAATAGTGTAGGACAGCACATTTAACACCAGGCTGACCTGATTGACTTTGTCTGCATGCAAATGATTTAATAATATTATGCAGAAATAAAAAGTTCACCTTTAAATAGACACCCCAGCCAACTTAAAACATTATCCATGTTGTAAACATGCCTACATGTCTCCTGCAGTGGTGCCTCGCTAGTCTGTAGAGCATTATTTCCTAGTTTAAATTTGCTGTTTACCATGTGCTGACATGACGAGTCCTCACGTGAGTCCTCATGGTGAGCTCAGTGGGAGAACTTAGCAAGAGCAAGGGCTGCGCTGTTTCCTCCAGGCTCCAAGCGTTACATAACGGGGATAACCCTAGTTGGCGTGCTATAAATATAACTCTCTACAGTGTGAGCCAATGTGGAATAATGTCAGAACTGTGCTATCCTCAGATTTCGTATCAAAGTGAGTAAGGATGTGAATTCAGTCTTCAATTAGATCATGTTATGTTGTACCAGTGTCCTTTTAGGACGAAGTAGCACGGCGACTCAAAGGTCAAGTGAGGTCCTATCTGTAACATGCCCAAAAAGAAAGTAATTCATAAAGGTGATCATTTCGAAACCAAATGGGCTGGACCGATATATCATTTTTCCAATATTAGTAGAAATCTGACATCAAAATTCTCATCAATTTCTGTCTTTAGGGAACAGAATGTTTGTCAGATTTGTCATATTGTTAGTAAAATGCATTTCACGTTTGATTAGATATGTAAATCCTTTGGGAATGGTAAAAATTTCAACCAGTATACCAGTTCGTCCCACTACTAACAGGAAGTACTACTAGTATAGTACTGAAGCGTTTTTTCTGTGTAGCAAAATCTGGCTTGAAGCAAAATCACTGTGTCACGAAGCCTTAAATCTCACCACAATTTGAATCTTCAGGAAACGATTCACTGCATCATGAAATCTCAAATTTTATCATGATTTGAATCTTTTGGAAACGATTCACTGCATCATGAAATCTTAAAATTCATCACTGTTTGATTCACTGCTTAATTTCACCACAATATGAATTCATTAAAAAGTGATTCACCACCTAATTTCATCACAATATGATTTGTAACAACATGACTCAGTGCTTCTATCAAATCTCAAGTTCCACTGCATCATGAAACCCAGATTTCACCACGATTTGAATCTTTAGGAAATAACCACACCATAAGCTCAAATTTCATCGCAGATCGATTCCTTACGAATTGATTCACTGCATCTTGAAATGTCAGATTTCACCATGGTGTGATTCTTTAGGGAACAGCTGCATCATAATCTCACATTTCATCACAATTTGATTGCTTAAGAAATGATTCAATGCATCATAAAGTGTTACATTTCATCACGCTTTGAATCTTTAGAAAACGATTCACTGCATCATGAAATCTCGTCTTCATCACGATCACCACAATATGATATGTTAATACATGATTCACTGCTTCTTTCAAATCTCAATTTTCACTGCTTCATGAAATCATCATGATCTCAAATTTCGTCACAGTTTGATTCCTTATGAAATGATTTACTGTGTCATTAAGTCTTAAATTTCATCACAATTTGAATCTTTAGGAAATGATTCACTGCATCATGAAATCTCAAATTTTATCACGATTTGAATCTTTAGGAAACAAATCTTTAGGATATGAATCTTTAGGAAACAATTCACTGCAGCATGAAATCTCAGATTTCACAATTCAGTTCATTAGTAAACGATTCTTTGTATCATACAATGTTAGATTTCTCCATAATGTTCTCATTCTTTAGAAAATGATTCACTGGTCCAGCCCACTACTAACAGGAAGTACTGCTAGTGTAGTACTGAAGTCGTTTTCTTCATAGAAAATTCTGTCTTATCAGAAACGTCAGGTTGTAGTCGTAGTTTAACGTGATTAGCACGTTTGGCTTTGTCACATGTACTTTGTGTGGTGCGTCTAACAGGGAACATACTGTAAGCCCTGCTTGTCGTCCTCTAGCGTCGGCTTGGCTGAGTCATGGGAAAAGAGCGCCGTGGTGCCTCCCTCTTTCAGGACACCGACTCAGCAACGCTGCCCTGTGTTCCCTTCTCCTTCCACTCGAGTGGCCGAATTAGCCTGATGCTTTGCGACAGAGTGTAGCCTTTAGGCCATTAGGTCATTCAGTGGGAAAAGCTCTCTCACTCTCTCTTTCCTACTCTCTTTCTGCCTCCCTCGCTCATTCACAATTCATCCTACTTTCTCTCTCTCTCTCTCTCTCTCTCTCTTTCTGCCATGCCTGTACAGTAAAACACTCCCACCCTCCACAAAGCCCTTCCGTGATGTGCCAAGCGCATTTCTGGCTCTGCTGCTGTTTGTTTTTGTCCTTCCCAGAAGCCATTGCTGCCTGAGTGAGCAGGGCCCTGACAGGACAAACCAATGAAGAGAGCATGTAGTGACCTGTGATAGGCTACTGCTCTACAAGTGACAGCAGTGGACTCTGAAGGGGGGGGTGGGGGGATGTACTGACGCCTGGCTGTCTGTTTTCAGGGGGGATTATCCTGAGCAAGTTCATGTTGCTTTATAATACACTATTCCTAATTGAACATTTTCAGACAGCAGTGTTTACTGTTAATCTGGAGCTGTTAATCCAGGTAAGTTTCCCGGTTTGAGTCTGGAACTGTGTTTATTAGTGGATTTAGTTCCTTAGATAGAGGTGTAAAGGATGTAGTTCACTGCATTCAGGCATCTCTCATTTGAGCAGGATTCGATTTGTTAGGAAACGATTCACCGATTAATTTCACCACATTATGATTTGATAAAAAATTATTCACTGCCTAATTTTACAATATGATGCATTGAAAAAGATTCACAGCTTAGTTTCACCATAATATGATTCAGTAAAAAATGATTTACTGCCAAAGTTCGCCACATTATGATTGGATAACTTAACCACACTATGATTTGTTAAAAAACGATTCACTGCCTAATTTCACCACAATATGATTCGTTAAAAACGATTCACTGCCTAATTTCACCACAATATGATTTGTTAAAAAACTATTCACTCCCTAATTTCACCACAATATGATTCGTTAAAAATGATTCACTGCTTAATTTCACCACACTATTTGTTAAAAAAACGATTCACTCTCTTATTTCACCACAATATGATTCACAACAAATGATTCACTGCCTAATTTCGCCACCATATGATTAGTTAAAAATGATTCACTTCTTAATTTCACCACACTATGATTCACAACAAATAATTCACTGCCTAATTTCAGCACAATATGATTAGTTAAAAATGATTCACTGCTTCTTTCAAATGTTGAATTTCATTTCAGCACAATTCATCATGTTTGGAAACACTGAAAAGCATAATTAAATCACCCGTTTTACCATGATATATTCTTATATAATAATAAACTACATCATGAAATAACAAATTTCACTGTGATTCATTTCATTGGGAAGTGATTCACTGTATTATGAGATCTTATATTTCAACATGATTTTTTTTTAGGAAACAGTTCACTGCATAATGAAATCCTGAATTTCACTGTGATTTAAACCTTAAAGATTTTTTAAGAGTAAATAATACATTTTTATTTATTATAACTTTCTCATCTTACTTTCTTGAGCTTTGTGGCTCCTAAAGCCGAGATGATTACGCCTCGGTTAGCAAATGTAGATTATTCTAACTACATGACTCACAGTTTGATGGCTTTGTTTGTTTGTTTTTTCACGAGTCACATGGGGACACAAAAGCTTCTCATTATCCCAGGGCAAAAGGACGTGGCGATTGACCCAGTAAGCTTGCAGGACCTGGAGGTGTGAGCTGATCTGAGCTGTAGTGCGGCTCAGCTGCGGCACGTTCAAGGCCATGGACACTCTTACGCTCAGAGGGCCGGCACTCGGAGGACTGTGAGAAACTAGCAGGTTCTCTTTTTCCGTACTTTTAATTCGTCTTGCATTTCAAAACGTTCTATTCGATTCTCAAAACAGATTAAAGAACCTTTGTAAATGAGCTGTAGTGTGAAGAACCTCTTCAAAGAACTTCTTTAAACCTCTTCCAAGCCAAAAAACACACTGCAGCTCACATTAAAATATATGTGTGGGATTGTTTTGAATCTGAAATGATGTATTTTCTTTCTAAAAAGTGATCAGATTGTTCTCCGGCTCTAATACTAAATCGATTTCAAAGTATTGAAAGTTCCCTCTCCAACTTTGTCGTAGTAACAAAGTAGCTGTAATAATGAGCCATTATCCAGCAGACCTGACTGTGTGGGGTCATCAGGATTTTAGAGTCCAGAGGTCAGCAGGGGGCACCCTTCTCTTTAGTCAGAGACAGTCCAGGCAAAGAGGCACACCATAATCACTGCAGCCTTGGAGGAGTGAACTGAAAATCAGTTCACTCCTCCAAGGAACTTTATTTGTAGATTTTTTGGAAACATACTTTGAATCTTTGAATTTCTCTTATTTTCCTTTTTTTTTGAAAAATAAGACATTGTAAATAATCCATTATGCTTGTTTTTGGTAACTAAAAGGCTTTTTAAAATTTTCTTCCTGACACTTTTGGCCTGCAAGTTTGCTGAAACCTGAAATCTGATTGGCCAGCTTGTATTGTATGTAACTCAGAAAGCAGTCTAGGCTGAAACACACTATAACTTCAGCGTGAGTGGGCGGGGCTAAACTGCTGTGGGCTAAATAGGTGGATATGTGGTGTAAATGCAGTGGACAAGACAGGCTGTTTTAGCAGATTAGCTTGTGTGGACTGGGTGTGGTCGCTTGAATCAGTGTCCAGTCATTTGTCCAACCCTATTGAGATGCTGGCCTTTCCAATACTGATAATACAGAATGCTGCAGTATGCAAATTAACCCCCTGACCAGTCACAGTGTGCTGTGAGCATTGTGACCAATCACAGTTCCAGATGAGTAGTTTATAGTAGAGTTTAGCCCTCCCACTCATGCTTAAGTTATAAGGAGTGCTTTTAAGCCCAGATTGCTTTCAGAATTAGGTACAGTACAGGCCAATCAGAACACAGCTCATTTACATACATCAGTCTTAAACAGGGACAAAAATAGTCCAATTAGCTCTAAGAGGCTCTAAAGGATTAAGTGCAGTTGGAAAATTTTTTAAAATTAATTTTTTAATTAGTTTTTGGTGGAAAAAAATGCAAGAAAAATCAAAGATTGAGTTCTTTGAAGGTAGAATGGTTGAATAATATAGCCATATATGACATTAATCTCAGCTACAGGCTTTTTAAAAGTGATGCTGCTTTAGATATTGTGAATTTAGACCATTTTAGATCATAAAGACAAACAAATCCTGATTTTAACAACCCAAAAATCCTTTTAGTTATCAAAAACAAGCATAATAAACCAATGTATTCCAACAAAGGTAAGTTATTCTTGTGAAAATGCAGGTTAAGCTTTATCAACGTTACATTATAGCTTAGTTTACTTAGTTTATATATTGTAAATTAAGGCATATCACAATATGCAGCAGCGTATTGACAATACTAGTGTTTTGTCCATATGGTTCAGCCCTAATTTTAAGCATTTGCACGCAGTGCTGTTAGAATAAATAACTGCTGTGTAAATCGGCCAATATGAACAGGTTGTTTTTCTACTTGCCATAGTTTCTCTGGTTGAACATCAGGGCCTAGTGGGTGTCTCAGAAGGACCGTTGAAATTCTTGGCAAAGGCTCTGTCACAACAGGCGTAATGCTCATTATTGAACCCTGAATTTGAACATGGGGTGCATGGCAGTCAGCCTGGTTTGCTGGGCCTAGCACAGCTGCACCGTCTCCGTTAATTAAATGGGTTTATGGCCAAACAAGCAGCAGATTTGTACCCTTTTTTGTGAGTTGGTGATGCAGGTGTTTTAAAAAGGCGAGCGGAGCGGAGTCGCCGTCTCTCTGTTGGTCATCATTTGTTGATTCTTTACTTTTACGGCTTGGCAGCTCAGTGTGGTCTGTCTCCAGTGTTTCAGGCAGGAAGTGGAGTGTCAGAGTGGAGCGCTTGATATGGCAAGTAATTCCGAAATACAATCGAGTTGTTATAGTTGTATTTAAAATAGTGCAGGAGACTGATAGTGGTGTCACACAACAATATCGATTTTGTTGATAATAAAAATGTATTTAACTGAAATGTATGTCATATATATATTTCTACACACATATGTATCGCTGCTGTCGAAACAAAACTTCATATCTCCATTTTCTCCGTTTTCCAGTTTTTGACATTATTAAAAATGCCTGTTGGCGTTTACATTATGTGTGAATTCCAACAGCGCCTACATATGTATATATTTACACTGTTTTCAGTAATACAGTACTAAAGATATTTTTTTTTTTATACAAAATCAGGTATACAGTGATTTTGTTATGGTGCAGTTACTCTACATACTCTACAACTTTATATCATTTAGCGAATTAGCAGGAAGCTATTAAAAATTAAGAAATGCTTTATTTGTTTCCACCCAGAAGTATAAATAAAACTGTAGATGATTTACTGATCTATTTTAAACTAAGTCATAATAAAATAAACATCCAGAAGGTCTCATATTGGAAAAGTTTGGATCAGATCTCAGGTTGTGAAGAAATAACTAAAAATATTTTATTACCTCATTACATTATTTGGAATTACATTACTGGAACTACGGCTAATACATCATGTTTTAACCCCTGATGATAATATATATATATATATATATATATATATATATATATATATATATATATATATATATATATATAAAACCGCTGTTGTTGGAAGAAAACCTCATATCTCCAAAATGATGACTTTACAGGAAAAAGAAAAAACTGCTTTACTTATAATGTAAGTCAGTGAAACCAGACGTCTTTCTAAGTCATTTTGGGCCATTTCTTTTGGTCCATTCAACATGAAATTTACACACAATATAAAGAGTAATTGGTATTTTCAAATTATGTCAAAAACTAAAAAATGACAAAAATGGAGATAGCAGTGATATATAGATTCAAAGCTCTATCAGGTTGACATTCTTTTATCATACTGTGCCAGCATTCAAAAAGAATGGGTTCATTAACTTATTAATACAAAATTAAACATGATCTGAAACTCTAATATGATTATATAGTATATATTTGGAAAACATCACGCTGAGGACTTTTATCAATACCATAATTTAAAAGCTGTGGAAGGCCTGATCTGTTTAATGCGTAATTTTGTTTTCCTGCTCCCGTTTGCTGTTTTTCAGCTCCGTCCTTTTCCTCTCTGCGAGTGTGTGTGAGTGTGTGTGTGCTGCACATTGGTGGAGGAAGTGGATGCTCTTCCGTATGTCCTGCAATCAGTAACGTGATTGAAGTCGTCTAACTGACTGATTGTCATAGCTTACAGATGTCTGAGATGGTGAATGCAGATTTGATTGTTGTTGATTGCAGATGGGAAAGATAAATGCGTTCATGTACGCAACGCTGGGAGCAGTTAACCTGCAGCAAAGCCACCAGAGAGAGAAGTAGCAGCGTTTAAACATTAAAAAGCAGCAAACCCTTTTGATGATACTCAGTGGAAACGTCGACCACCAAATGAAATGTAGCTTAATAACAGCGATTAGAATGAAATGGACTCTGTTTTTGATGTGTTCTGTTTCTAAAGCGCTGTATTCCTGTATGGTCAGATCATTAGATTCAGTGTGAGAAAATAAGCTTTTGGTTCTGTTTGAGACAAAATACAGGAGTAGCATTACAGTCGATAACAGCTTAACAGCTTTTCACTCTTCCATAAAAAATATTCGAGTGTGTTTAGTTTGGTTTTAGTTCAAAAGAAATTTACTCTCTTACTAAAAATAGTTTAGTTCTGGCAAAATTTCATACAAGTTGACGCTAACGCTAATTTTAAAGCTGTTCATTTTCAGGACGTATGAACTGAACTACACTTATCAACATTAGCTTCTTAGATGTATTAAGTAATACTGTAGCTTTAGCTAACAGCTAAACACCTTTTTACTCTTCTTAATATTCTTAAGAGTGTTTAGTTCAGTTTTATCTAAAAAAAAAAACAACTTTTTTAGTCTCAGCTAAAAACAGTTAGTTAGGTTAGGGAACCAGCCTTGTGACCGGAAGGTTGCTGGTTCAATCCCCTCAGCTGACAGTACATGACTGAAGTGCCCTTGAGCAAGGCACCTAACCCCCAAATGCTCCCCGGGCGCTGTGGGTAGGGCTGCCCACAGCTCCGGGCAAGTGTGCTCACTGCCCCCTAGTGTGTGTATGTGTTCACTAGTGTGTATGTGGTGTTTCACTGCACGGATGGGTTAAATGCGGAGGTCTAATCCACAGTTGGCTGAAAGGTTCATTTCATTTAATGTAGCTTTAGCTAACAGTTAGAAACCTTTTTACTCTCTGGAGGGTTAAGTTTAGTTTGTAATGCTAACTAATGCTAACTACTGGACACCGTGCCTGACTTTTTCAGTGCCTCAGCGTTAGCTTGTTAGCTGTATTAAGAAATAATGTAACATTAGCCATCAGTTAACAGAATAGCTCTGCTTAAAAAAAACATTTTAGTCTGAGGAGTGTTTAGTTTCATTTTCATACATGTTGATGCTAATGCTAACTTTGAACCGTTACTTTTAAAGGACCTTAAAGTGCCACTGTGACTGAATTTGTCAGTGCCTCAGCGTTAGCTTGTTAGCTCTATGGAGAAATAATGTAACTTTAGCTCTCAGCTAAAAAAAAAACTAGCTTTTTAGAGTCTGGAGTGTTCACTTTAATTTGGACAAAGTTTCAAACATGTTGATGCCAATGCTAACTTTGAACCAAAAGATTCTGAACTGCCACTGTGACTGAATTTGTCAGTACCTCAGCGTTAGCATGTTAGCCGTATTAAGAAATGGTGTACTATGAGCTAAAAGCACCTGCAGTGATGATAACCAGAACAGTTTAGCTGTGGTGGATCTT